CTCCGCCTTTAAAAACGGAAGTTAACAAAAAGAGAAAGCTTTGGAAAAAGTCCCTAATTGATAAGTCAGCTGAATCTCTCAATAGTTACAATATTCAGAGGAACCGGGTCAAACGTCTCATTGTCAGAGGTCGACAGATGTTCGAAGAGGATCTGTTAAAGCGTGCCATGGTCAATCCCAAAGTCCTTTACAGTTATATAAAACAGAGCACTCGGAACAAGGATCCTATCACCCTACTGCGAACTGTCGAAGGTGCCGAAATCTCAGAGGACAACGATAAAGCTGACCACCTCAGTTCTTCCGGTCCGTCGAGACGGCTGAACCCGAATTTTCTTCCCCCACTTATGACGACGATGCTATGCCTTTTCTAGATACAGTTCTATTCACCGAAGAAGTAATCACGACGGAGTTAATACAATTGAAAGAATCGATCGTTAAGAAGGCGTTGATGCAGTTCCTCGAGCAGAATCACCTTTCCGATGCCCAACACGGTTTTCGCAGTGGTAGGTCCTGTCTTACCAATCTGCTATTCTCACTTTATATCGTTGGACCAAAGCACGAGACGAGGCCAAAATGGTGCATGTCATATACCTTGACTTCAAGAAGGCGTTCGATAACGTCTCTCACCAACGCCTCCTGCATAGGCTGTGCAGCGCAGGCTGTCGCGGGACCCTCTTCGTATGGGTCCACAACGTTTTGACAGGACGGTCCCAAAGAGTACAAGTCGGCTGCCAGCAGTCCTCAGGGGTACCTGTGATGAGTGGCGTCCCACAGGGCTCAGTTTTAGGTCCCACATTATTCCTTGTTATCATCAACGACTGTCAGGGATATAGACTGTGATGTTACCTTGTTCGCTAATGACATAAAATTTTGGAAAGTTGTCCAAAATAAGGCAGATAAAAACCATCTGCAAGCTAACTTGAACAGATTGGAGGACTTGTCAAAGCATTGGCTTATGCCTTTCAATGTTAGTAAGTGCAACTTTCTTCAAATCGGCAGTTGTACAGCACGCAGCACGAAGGTCTATTCCTTAAACGATACATCGCTGCAACAAGTTGAGGGTCAGAAGGACTTGAGTGTGTGGATTGCTTCTTAACTCAGACCAACACTGAACTGTACGAAGGCGGCGAAGTCGGCCAGATCTATATTACAGCTGATTAGACGAGCCTTTATGGAGTTTGAAAAAGACATCTTTTCCAAAATATTTGGAAGCTTCATTCGGCCGCACCTGGAATTCGCTACACAGGCATGGAGACCTTGGACTGTCAATGACTCTACCTAACCTCTTAGAGAAGGTTCAGAGGCGAGTGACGAAAATGATAAAAGGTCTAGGAACACTGCCCTATGAAAGCAGACTGTCAACACTCGATCTATTTCCCCTTTCCTACAGAAAACTTCGAGGGGACCTCATACTTACCTTCCGTATTATGAATAACCTGGACTATTGTTTCGTTCCAGACGATTTCTTTGCCCAGGCTAATACGCCAACTTTGCGCGGCCATCCCCTTAACTTCGCCTCGGCAAAGCAAGGATCGACAGACGAAAGTTCTTCAGCAGCAGAGTAGTTGCAGCGTCGAACGCCCTTCTCGAAGAGCTTGTCCTCTCTACTTGTGTTAATTCATTTAAGAGTAGACTGGATATGCATCAAGCACACACTCACATAAAAACCGTATGAAAACAATTACATCACGTTATGCTACTCGTGACTAGCATGTGGTCATGCTTTTGTTACGATTTGACTATCTAACAACTGTGGTGTCTTCCCGGAACATGTATTTGACGTACTTTTAAAAATTTTTATTTGTATCCATTTATCTCCTCTCATCTTGTTACCGATAGGGAGTTCAAAAGCGTTTGCCTATCTTTCCTCAATAAACTGATACTGATAATGAAACGGTTTAATCAGAACTATTGCGCGCCTTGAAAACTTAGTGGATCGGAAAATCCTGTTATGGACTTTTCTGTTGGCCGTTGGGTGTTATTCAGAAGCAAAAAGCAAAAAGTTTTCAACGTCGAAACTGAACTGGACACATACCTTCTACTACTGTCTTGCTACTTAATGGTTTACTATTCGCGAAGCTTTTTCGACTCAAGGCTCTATATACAACTAAAATTACACTAGGAAGTAATTGCCGTCTAACCTTTGGAATTTGGATTTTGGAATTTATATTTGTTAGCGCCAGAAAGGCACTTGCTGAGAATAACCAAGTTATTAAGCCAACCGGTATGTGCGTGCTGTCAACGCGTCATGACAGTTTCAAGTTCGTCAGGTTGCTTACACCGAGCAGTGGCC